CTAGTTCTTTCTGAGTACACCAGGATAAGCTCTACTGGGTTGTCTAACTGAATTTACTTCTTACTCTTCGGGGCTCAATACGTGACGGGTGAATGATGCTCAGATTAGGCTAGTGGCGACTTACTCTGGTAACTACGTGTAAAATAGTTAAACGGTGGCTAGGTTAGAGTTTGGGTCAGGGTGGCGACAAGAAGATGAAAAATATTTTCCTTGACGTGGATGTCCGCTCCTCGAGTGGGGAAGTAGGAGGGTAGCAAACAGCTGGATTGGGCGCCGTGGAATGGCGGCGTGAACAACCCCACCGTACAACTACCTACAACGTACATTAAATTGTATAATTCCGTGCTGTGCGGTGCGATTGCAGACGCCGCAATTTCACGACGCCCAATCCAGCTGTTTGCTACCCTCCTACTTCCCCATACTCTCTACTCCCGGTCGCTGGTGAACGCTGGTAGACGCTAGATCGATATCTATACTTTCCTAGTCGCTGACGCTGCCGAACGCTTGGAACGCTAGTGGTCGCTGGTAGACGCTCCTACCATTTCTTTCCAAATTCTCCCAACTCCTCGGGTATGTGACAAGGCAATCGTAAATTAAAGCACTGAAAAGCAGCGCTAAAATTGCATTGTTTCCATGTGGCGGTTGGCGATCATAACCGGAAAGCCGTAAATGACTGTGATATCATAGTCTATACGCAATCACATGCTCCAGCCGACATACCAAGGCAAACTGAGAAAGCGCGCGCTCATTGCCGCGCGCGACGGAGCGGCAAATTACGGTTGTCTTGACCGTCTCCCCAACTCCTCAGCATGTCATCGTTTCACATAGCACAAGTGGAATTGAAAAAAAAATCGTAAAAAGTCGACAACCGGAGAAAAATTTCCCGTGGTCCAGAAAAATGTTTGTCACAACCAGCTGCGGTCATCAACGACCCAGGTACGACCCCTTCCAAACTTCAAAAAACTCTCAGGCCATATACGCTGACCACCTCCTCCATGACCAAGCACAACTCACACCCCCTCCCCCACCTGCCTGGAGAGATTTCCCCAAGTGATGCTGTACCCTGCCTCTGAGTTCTTCTCAAACCATCACATGACCACATATACGGGAAAACTTGGTCTCCCCAGTCATCCTGACCCTAACACAGCCCCCAGTTCCTCAAGATTTGTAGGAGTTCACCAATGCTCTGGATCGTTCTCTCGGCGGATATAATTGGTGTATGGAAGCAAAGAACCCTACTCGAAACGCATCAGTTCTTATTTCCATCAGTGTCCGAGCAACGTTGCTATCGACTAGGTACGGTTCGGGTAGGTGGGAGCATTTTCTGGTTCCCATCGATCGCTGCCGGTGCCTCCTGTGAACAGAGCACGTTCTGTCATTAGGAAATCTTCTCAAAATACAAGCCTTCTCAGAAGTCTCGTTCAATTCCTCACCCCATACCCCATCATAGCTACTTTCCCCAATTCCTACCTTTTTTCGGAACTTTTTCCCTAAAATTCCTCCACTCTTCTCCCAATTACTGATACCAAGCTGAGGTTGGCGTGGGGAGTATGTAGCGCTCTTCAAGCGGAACAATCCGAGGAAAGTTAACAAAAGAAAACATCTTTCTCTGAGAGGAATACGACATGACCCTCCCCCCCCCTCCTCCTTCCAGCGACCAAATACGACCTCTGCCCTGCCTGTGAAGATCTGTCAACTCTTGTAAAGCTATGGAGTAGCATGAGATTCGCTTACACTCGACAAGAGTCCACAAGTCCACAGGTCTCACCCAGGTAAGACGCGTAAGTCAAGAGGAACTAACAGAATACCCCCTCCCCCCACCTCCCGAGTCGAACAACTCCTGTCGATCACCCAAGCAGAACCTGTTCCCTTTTTAGTTCTTGTGTAGCCCCTGCATGGAAACATTACGTATAAGGATAATCTCAAGTATAAAGTAAAGCTTGCAGGAAACACTCAAATTAATCCAATTAATCACCATGAATAGAAGCGTCAGCAATTCTTCGACGGCCACACAACCCCTATGGCATTTGGGCAAAAGAAGCGACAGTGGATGAAGGGAGCAAATGAAGAAAAAAAGGAAAAGGAAGGAAAGAAAGATGATTTGCTCACCTATTGTCAACGATGATTGCACATCGCTTTCCCATGCCAATCGTGGATCTTTCCAGATTTGCCGTAAATAAAGATCCAATGTATAGTCCTAGAAAGAGCTCAAAATTACGGTATTAATCTGGTGATTGCCCTCAGAGCATGGGGTTATTAGCACCTGTGAGTAATGAGACAATGGTAAGTGAAAAAACAGGTTAAGGTCCTTCTCTTTTTTCCGCTTCAGTGACGAAGCCGGAAGTAGATCCCATGGAAAACTTATGAGTAATCAAATTCTCCCAAATAAAACTTCTAGCTGTGTGGGGAACTCCGCCCTCAGTGATGATGATTCCACCCCTTTGTGACAGATTTCCATAACAACTGTAATGACAACCCACCATAGAAACTTCCGTTATAGCACTGATTGTTGTAATGTGTGCCGTAATATTCACTTCGATCGGTGGACCTGAAATTATGAACCGAAAATGATTTTTAAAGGAGACGTGGGAGCCTGCTGATTTTCTAGAAGCATCCCAACATGGCACTGTGCGCAGTATTGGTGATCAGATAGGAGGAAATCAATTAAACCACCTGGAATGCGCCATGCATCAGACTTTGCTAGTCGACAGTCTTGTCCGCTGTAGATGCTGGGGCATGTCGAAGAAGCTGGGATTCGCGCGGCTCCAGCCCCGAACACTATCTCGCTGAGAGGGCAGAGACGAGCAGAAAATGGTTGTGGCCTAGATTGGCTGCAAACTCCCTAG